ATATATATGAAGCACAGGACTAGTGAGTGTGAGAGCCACTGTCCAGGATGAAACATCCAAGATCCATAAATACATCAAGGACAAAGCCTCAACGGACAATGTGCTCAGCGAATGTCTCAGGCAATGGGGCACAGAAGCCGAGGTGCTAGAGGAACCATCATGGGAGGACAAGCCTCTACATGGGATGTACCACCGACAAATAACTGAAGTGGCTGATATCAGGAAATCCTACCAATGGCTGGAGAAAGCTGGACTCAAGGACAGGACCCGAGCTCAGAGGATGAAAGAGAGAGACCACCCGAGTGTGAGAAGGGAGAGATATATATATATGTATATATATAAACACTGGTGTTTCTAGCAAAATGACAAAATGGGAAGGAGTAAGAAAGATGTAGAGCAGCTATTGCTATCCAGTCCAGATCAGAAAAAGTCAGAAGCTATTCAGAACGAACTGGTCAGATCAAAGACTCTTCACTTTATTAATCTGGCTGAATTTCTACTTATTTGCCATCTGGTTTCTATAGAACCAGATAGCAAAAAAAAAACAAAAACAAAAAAAAACAAGGGCAACAAAAAAAGTGATGAACTCAAAGTTTTGGTCATCTGTAAACTGTGATTAGTTCTTGGTAGTCGAGTAAAACCTGAACAAAACCGAAGATGCTTTCTGATCTGTGGAGATCTTTAAGCTCAATACTGAAACATCAACATTCTTTACTTAAACCTTTCACTGCAGTTTTTATCCAGCTTTGCTAACATACCTGTGTTGGACCGCAATCTGAGCCGGGTCACATACTCGGGACTCTTTTGGGGTTGTGTAGTTGTATTCTGTGTACAGACAAAAAAAAAAAAGATTTTAAAAAATTTCAATAAAAAAAAAAAAAAATCTGTTCCAGAAATCTCAGCTTTCATCTAAACTGAAACACCTTCACCTTGTTCCACTTTGAAAATCATAGTGAAATCCACTTCCTGACACCAGCTGACTCACATCTGCAAAGCTGTCAGAAAAACCTCTGAGTACGATTTAGCTGAGTCATCACCACCACTATGACATCAGCAATAAAACGGCTAGACGTGCGCACACACACACACACACACACACACACACACACACACACACACACACACACACACACACACACACACACACACACACACACCTGTGATGACGTACAACCAGAACAATTTAGGCTTTTCTAAAAAAGTAAGTATTTTGTTATATTACAGAGCAACTTTCATCCCTTCCTGAGCTCATATTTTCTTCAGCTCTGTGACGCCTTTCACACGACAAAACGGCCATGCTGGATTTTTGTAGGTAGGTTTGATCATCAAACGTTGACTGAAAGGAAATCGTTTTAAAAGTAAGAAAAGTAAGAAAAGTAAGAAAAGTAAAGGACGACCAGTCTGTGTTATCATTTGTCCCCTGTGTTGTGTATTTGTTCAGTGTTCTCCAAAGACGCATAAAGTGCCACTTTGACTGGAGAAGCATAATCTGATGCTGAAAAAATATATTTTTTAAAAAAGCAAACCTTTAATTTGAGCACATTTTTAGTAAGTGGGGAGGGGAAATTCCACGTTAAGAATTATACTTTTTAAGTGTGCTCCACATATCAGTGCCTGTGACAGAGGTTTTGTAATGGCTTTCTACTCACAAACTGTCTCAGTAAGAGGTTTGAAATCTGCAACTTCACTGCCTCTCAGCTGGATCTTTTACAATGATTCCTAATGTCTTTCGTTAAAAATGAAGAACCAGCTACTGTTTTTAAATATAGATATATTAACAACTGCGGGTTTCAGAAGAGTTTCAGGTTTTTTTTCATTGAATAATTTTGTTTTCTTGTAAGTAGAAAACTATGTGCGTTTTCTTATATCATTTTCCACAAATGTCAACCTCCCAAAGAAGAAAACATATCTACTTTATTTTTTTTGCTTAAGAAATATAAATAAAATGAATTAAAATGAATTAGATCTAACTTTCTAAGTTGTCTTTTTTGAAATAATAATAATAAAAGCTCATGCAACATTTATTTTTATTTGTTTTTATTTATCTGTATACCACTTTGAGCTGCTTTTAGTATGAATGGTGCTTTATAAAAAAAATTGATTGACTGATTGATAAAATATAGATCTTACAGTTATAGATCCTCCCCTTTGTAAAGCACCTTTCAACAATAAAGTGCTTGTAAAAACATAATACAGAAGCTAATTATGAAACAACCAACAATCATGACATTTTTGCCAAATGCCATCAAGAAAATATACATTAAATATCCTGATCAACGTTCCAGTTATTATGAATAAACTCCGATTCAAAGAAACTCAGTGTTTCAGCAGTTTTGTAGTTTTTTAAAAGTTTGTTCCAAATTAGTGGTGCATAGAAGCTGAATGTGTTTGGGTCTGGCTCCTCTCGTCTCTTCAGCTCAAACCACAGGTTTTCTGGTATTTGGGTCCGGGAACCGAGACGGTTAGGACAGAAAAGGCCTGGCTTGTGTCTTAATCAGTTAGCATCTGGATATGGTCTAATGTTTGCTATGGACATTTGGTGACAGACAAGATGCTACAGCTATCAACATGTGAGCTTGTCAAGGTAAACATGGATCCTCATCCAGCCTTGTTAGTCAGTTTGAGGTTTTTTTGTTTGTTTGTTTTTTCTTTCTATTGCACTGACTGAAGATACGGTTGAACTTATTCAGGTAGGTATTTTCTTGAAGACATTTACTAACTTATTAATATCAAAACTCTCTTGCGTGTTGAAAACAGTAGCTGCGTTTTCATTGCAAATGTGCGCAAATCTTTGTTAATATTCTGCTAATGTCGAAAAAAAGGATCCAAAAAAAGGAGTTGCGGCGTTTGCAGTTGTGGCGAGGGGTGCTGGTGCCCATAGACATAATATAAGAGTAGACCCCGCATTGGCTGCTCCGGCGCAGGAAATACGGCGGCCATCTTGGGGCGGTATACCTTCCTACTTTGCTCAATCAAAACAGCAGAAGATGCCTCAGCACTGAGGGATATTGTTGTTCGGATCGATGGACGATTGATGTGAGGGCTCCACAGACAACATTTCACAAGTAAGATGGACATATTATTGTGTATATATTGTGATTAGAATATGACTTTACTGTATTTATGTCCACCAGTGAGATACCAGCTAATATTAGCTATAGTGCTTGGTGTA